CATTGATCACATATTTGGGTTATAAAGGCTTTGAACTGTCCATCACACTTGATTTGAAAGAGCCTAACAAACATGCACGTGAAAATGTCCTTAGCATGAAATGGAGAACCTGGGGCCTTCAAGCAACGTTGATGAATTAGCTAATTTCTCACATGCAAACTGCAAAGTGGGAAGGAGCAAGACATAACTGGCAAAGTTTATTGGCAGCTCTTACAGGTCAGAGAGAGTCTGTTAATCATGCCAGTGCATTTTACGCACATTTGCTGGTCTTTGCAGTCATAGAAGAGGCAGGCAGGCAGGCCCATATTTGCCTGAGCGGGTAGGAAGAGAGGTGGCACTTTAACGAGGATGTTGTGTACGTGTTCCAGACTAGGCACTTTGAGAGCCCCTACCTGGTGTATCACGAGAAAATCAAGACCAGCCGCGTGTTCATTCGAGACTGCAGTATGGTGTCAGTGTACCCACTGGTCCTGCTTGGAGGCGGGCAGGTTCACATGCAGCTGCAGAAGGGAGAATTTGTCATTTCTCTTGATGATGGCTGGATACGGTTTGTGGCTGCCTCTCACCAGGTAAGGAAAGGGAGGGCTAATCGTGGGCATGCTGCAGAGCTGTGCTTGTGTTTAGTACGCAAGAGATACATTTCATGAGCCTTATGCTTGCCTCTGTGTTTTACCATATGTGTTAGGTGGCTGAGCTGGTGAAAGAGCTGCGCTGTGAACTAGACCAGCTATTGCAGGATAAAATCAAGAATCCCAGCATGGATTTATGCATGTGCCCCCGTGGATCTCAGATCATCGGTATGATTGTAAAGCTTGTGACCACACAGTAACGTGAGAACAGCTGTCTATAAAGACTGCTATTGCCTCAGAACAGACCAAGTCACATCAGTGTCTTGATGTATTTGTTGCTCCAACACATGGCGCCGATCTCTGGAAGACCAAGTTGGCAACTGTACTATTGACAGGTTTTGGTGTTTGGTTTGTTAGTTTGTATTTTTTCTCCCCCTGTTTGTAGAGAGCTCACTTGTTGAAAGTAAGGTGGCTTACAGTACATTCTCGGAAATGGGAAAATGGCAACTCTCCCAGGAGGAATAGAAACCTCCAAGTAAGAAAGTAACGTGTTTGTTTTTTTTTTTTAAAGGCTATATGCTCGCAGTACTTGCTACCTAGCTGCTTCTTGTAATAGTAATGTCTTGAGGCAGCATGTGACATCATATGCTGCTCCCAAATTGATTTAAACTCATTTATTCATTTTAGCCAAGATGTCACTGAGGTAATCGGTCTTGGCTGAGCAGGGATCAATTTGCTTATGGTTCAACCCAAAGCCCTTAAAAAGGTGAGCACCTTTTGATTCACAGCAAGGGTTCTGAAATGGATTGAGAGCATCCTCTGGCAAGGAGACCGTACCGGATCAGTTGGAGTCACATGTTGGATCAATGCAGGCTGTTCTGGTTACAGTGTAAAAACTCCAGGACAGTGTGGATGTTTCCCCAAAAGCTGGGCTTTTCCAGGCCCTGCCCCACACTCTGAAAAACTAAAACGGATGAGATGGGCTGCTGCAGTGCATTAAAAATGGACCCTTTGGCGGATGGTATCGCTTACTGTTAGCCTCCTCTGGTGGGTGGTGGTCCCCCTGCCACCCTGCACAGCTGGGAGAAAGTCCTACTTTTGGAAACCTTTAGCCAAACTCCTGCTCTGGAGCATAGACTGCTACAGACAAGTGTGGCAAAATGCTGCAGTAATAATGAACAGTAACTTCTTCCCTTTAACATTGCTTAATTGCAATACTAAGCATTGCTACAGCTGAGCTGCTTGATATACTAGCAATTGCAAATAATAGCAAGTGTCTTAAGTGAAATAACTTTGCTGTCACCTGTAATAGTAAAACCAGAGTAAAGGCTGTCTCTACCACCAGCCCTGCCTAGAACTAACCTTCAGGCTGAGGAATGATGAACAGGAGGCACATCATCTGGGGACTAGTTCCATTTAAAAAAACCCCACACACAACCACAGACCCACACTTGACTGTAGAAGCAGTTTCACAGCAACACACTCTGGCATGAGGAAGAAGACACGAGTACCAAGACCCAACATACCAGAGCAGTAGAATGATCTCTGCAGGTATGTTGAACTGCAGCAGGCTAAGCTGTTCCCATAGCTTAATGTTCGTCAGTAGTAGCACCATACACCTCTAACTGTGCACCTGGATACTTGTGGTGGTTTGTTTATGTTTTGTTGTTTTTTTTTTTCCCTGTGGTTTAGTGAAGAGCTCAAGGCCTAGGAATCCTGGGGCAGGGTATTAAAGCACGGCAGAGGCATACAGTGTGTTGTCAGCCATTAGCTCCGTGTGAAGCAGGACTGTTAGATATGGTATTGCTTCCGTGTGTGCTTGGCAGCCATGCCAGTCAGGGTAAGCAAATACTGTTTCTGTTCAGATTGACTGTGGAGTGAAACAGCAACAGATTCCATTTTATTCACCTCACTTTCAAAGTGGGATCCTCTTAAATAAATTTCTCAGCCATCAGGGAGTGCTTGTTTTGGATGGAAACTGGTGCTTCAGCAGGGTCTGTATGACTCTTCCCCCAAATACATGCTAAATTCCACCTAAGCTATCCCAAAGTGAAGGTGAGGTGATGTAGCAGGTGAGAATTAGCAGCATCCACCCTGCTGGAGGGAGGACTTGGTGGCAGAAGGGGCAAGGCTGGGAAGGGAACAATGCACACATCAGTGGATACAATCAAAAGATGACAGTGGATACTGAACTGTGAGCACATCCCTTGTGTCTCACTGCTTAGGCTGCACTACCAGCTGTTACTTTAGGAGGGTTTCTACGTAATAGTGTCCTATCCACTCCCAAAACAGGCCCACTTCCCACAAATCGCATACACACTAACATGGCTTCATGGACTAGGCATAGTGATTTTATTACTTGCTTCCTTCAGCAGGTATGTTCAGCCCCTGAAACCAGTGCCAGTCCATGTGACAGCTCCATTTCCCCTTAAGAGTAAAAGCGTAAAATACTGCAAAATGGCTGAGACAGGATCAGCCAGTCCAACGCCTGAGGTGCACAGCTGGAGCCCAGCTGCTGTGCTCTCCAGTACAGCTGGAACTGTCTGAGGCAGCGGTCTCTAACACCAGGATGACCCACATTAACTACAGATGACAAGCACCAAACACAGTGGCAGTGCTACTACAAATGACCATAGACCTCCCTCGGAGGTATGAGAAGAGCCGCTCCCCTTCTCCAGCAGCAGCTGAAGTGGTTCCTTTTCCAACCTCCACCCTGGGAGCTGCCTCCTGCTGCTCACCAAAGCTTGCCCCAGCAACCCTCCTCCTCTGCGCCTGAGCACATAGATGCATACTCCCTTTCCTTGCAATACTCTGAGTGGTAAGCATTGAAAAGAAAGGTATCACTAGAAGAATTTTTAGTCTGCAGGTTTATTGTGGAGTCAGCTTGCTTCAGCAGTACAGAGGGAAAAAAAGAGAAAAAGCTACCCCCCTTTAAAAGCACTGTTGCATGGGGCAATTTGATGCTGTAAACTGCAATGGAGCAGGGAACCAAATAAATACTCCCCCCCAGGAGTGTGTCAGCAATGGCTTTTGGGTCACCCTAGTTTAATGCTGTCGCTTCCAGCTCCCTCTTCTGCAGCTTATAATGGACTACGGTTATAACAGAATATTAATTGCACCATCATCATCAAGGAAAGTCACTTATCCACAATACACTAAAATGCGCACAGGGAAGAGAGAGGAGGGAGGACAGGACAAACACATACTGTAGTACACAGGAAGAGTCTTTGCGAAGTCACATATAGTAGCTCATTATCGTTCTTTTAATACCTGGACATCTTGTAAAGCAACAATGATGCAAGTTCATCTGAAAACCTGGGCTTGGGTGCCCATGCACAGCTGCAGTGCTCTGCTCTAACAGCAGAGTATCAACCTGCTGTGGACAAATCAGAAGCCCCAAGAGAATTACTGTTCCTCGGTGGCCTGTAAGGCACAGCAACATAGGCCAGAACATAGCATAAGGAAGACTTAAGTCAAAATCATCTGGCACTCTGACTTCCTTACTAGTCTGATAATAGCTGCAAAGATAAATCGAACTGGCAAATGCCTTGCACTAGTTTTATCATACTTACATTAAATCCTTCAGTAACCTATCTGGTGAGATGGGGACCATCTGTAGACAGGCAACTAGAGTCCAGTTTCCCAAAGCAACAACTGATCAGGACAGCAGCGAGGCCCTTGGTTACACTTCACTGCCAAAGGAGAAGATGTGACCAGGCAGATCAGGTCAGACAGGTGTAACATGAGCTCTTGATTCTCCAAATGTACTGCTGCTTAAACATGACCTACAGGTTCTGCTTGTGACCTTCAATTTGTAAGAAAAGCCTTAGTTTCCTAAAAAAGAGTATCTAAACGTATTGTCTTCTGCACCAGAACTGCCAATTTACTGCAATTATCACAACGTAGTACTATTTGAACAACTAGGACATAAAACAAGACTTCTAAAAATATTTACTTCCAACAGTTTACATTCCAGAAGTACTCCACATACCTTTAGGTGAGAAGTTCACTGGTCCTTTAATTGACAGGACACATTCCTTGTTTTTTTTCCATCTGTTAATGCCCTTTGTGGGCTATTTTTTAAAAAGTCAAATCATCAAGTGTACAAGCACCTCCAGACAGGTTTTCAGCTTCACTGAGCTTTGAGGAGGTGCAAATAAAAACACAAGGTACAGATCACCACAACATTCAAGATCAAACAGCAAGAATGACAGTGGGTCCTGGTACCTCTTCACTCTAATCGGTGCTCTGCAGGAATGAGGTCCTACCGCAGGAACACACCTGTGGGACAGCCATTGACTGGCTGCTGCACTAGGCTCAGCTCACAAGTGCCTGTAACAGCCTGCCTCCTGCTTTTCAGCATAGTGGCACATGACCTGCTTCAGCTACCCAAATATTAACAGAAACAGCAGGGTTATCACAAAATATTTCTTAGTTAGAAATGCACAGTTTATTTCAATGCGCCAATAAAAAAAGCCCAACCTTTCCAGATCACAGAACATTAACACAACAAAAGAGTTTTGCATTAGTCTACTATTAAGACTTTTAAAAGATCAGATTCATGCCAATTGTTAGCCAATAGAAACAGCCTTCTAGGACTAAGCCCTTACATTTATAAAGACACTGCAAAATCCCTTATAATAATGTAAACAAAATAAATTTTCTTCTTAAACTTTTTGAATTTGAATCCATTCTTCCAGGACTTGCACTCCTTCAAGGGCTTCCTGATGGTGAGTGACTGAAAGGGAAAGAAAAAGATTAAGAGCAACTCCTACAGCTAAGCCAACAGAAGCCATGCATGCTACCCCAGGTTTTCCTCTGCCTAGGAGCCCTCCCCACCCCAGCTTCATAATGCCCTTCCCCACACTGTTTTCATCTACAGATCATGAATAATGAGAAAATGTCACATTTTATACCTTTATAGGGAACAACTGCTTTAAGCTTGGAAAGAGCAGGCACAGTAAGAGACATCCAGCCTGCTCAGAAAGCACCTTGAAGCCTGTGCTCCAGCTCTGCAGAGGAATTCTTACTCTGCCATAACCTACACAGTTCCAGTTTAGTGCCTAATGGGTAGCCCTATCTCAGACTACGTAAATTCCAGCACATACCTCTCTGATTACATAGGAAAACTCGCCTTTTTTTTTTTTTTTTTTTTTTACAGTGCATAGCAAAACCTGGCAGCTGTGCAAATGACTGAGAGCCAGCTGTGAGGAAAAAAAAAGAATTTAATCCTACCACATATTCACACTTTGCTCCATACTTTACATTACTCACTTCTTCCCCAGATTTTAAATTCCTCATGAGCTTTGGGACAGTTAATTCTTATTTGCCCATGTTTTCTGTTGTCCTTTCAAAATTCATTGAAGTAGGTTACCTTAGAGTTATTATCATGAAGTTCTGACTACCAGCAGTAGGAAGTGCCCATAAAACTTCAGTTTTTCTTAGCTGACAAATTAAGTGAAAAAAACCAAAACAAAACAAAAAAACCCCAAAAACCCCCACACTTAAGCTTTCACATCCTTGCACATGTTAACTTCTATAGCAACCACTCCAGACACTACTGCTATGTAACTGTATGGCACGCTCCAGTTTTTAAGATATTCCTACCTTCTCTTTGGAGATGGTGATCTGGACTTTGAGCGACTGTTAAAAAAACAAACAAAAAACCACAAAAACAACAACAAAAAAACAGAACAAATCAATGTGGTAAACTTGTATACACACAGTAACCACTTTTGACCGTTTAAAAACAGTAAGAACAGTCTGATGATGTTAATACATAAAAAGATAGCAAGTATACCAAATTACTTTAAGCCAGAAGCTGCAGCTGAGAAGGAAAACTGCTGAAAGCCAGAGTCCTCAGGAAAAGAGCAACACACAGCTTCAAAGCAGCTATAAAATGATCACAGTAATCCTGCAAAGCAGGAGCAGTGAACCAAGTAGAGGAGAGTCAGGCAGACTAAGAACTACAGACAGTTGGGAACAACAGTAGGAAAAGATATGCCCCAAATCCTGTCAAAAAACACTTTTTGTCACAGTCATGGATTAAACAAAAACCTGTATCCACAACCCTTCTGAAAGAATTGCCTACTGTCCCACAAAAATCAGCTATTAGAAAAAATAAAGTATTTTAAAATCTGTTATTAAAAAACCAAAACAACAAAAAAAACCCCAAAACCAAAAAAACCTCTTCCACATGCAGCTGAAATACTGGTCCAAGCAGAGATTTTGAATCATGACAAAAAAAAAACCAAAAATCTGAGTGCTACTTGCATTTATACGCTCACCTTTTAGCAGGTAAGCCAGATTTAGATCTACCATGGGACCCAGACCTACAACAGGAGAAAAATAAAGCTCAGCAAAGCAGCCAGGGGCATGCACGTACAATGAAAGTTAGCTAAACCAGCAACAGCAAATTCATACTACATAGCATCACAAACCAGAGAGGAAGGCTCTCGTGTTGCAGGCTTTTCTGACATTTCAGGAGAATCCTTTAGCTCTTATTCCAGAGACCCCACTTTCAGAAGAGAAGACTACAAGCACAAGAAGCTCCCCAGCAAAGCTTCAGCTACCACTTTCACAAAGCAGAAGACCTTGTACCAGGTTCCCAGACTTTCTCCCCATCTGCAAGTATCCCTTCCGTAAAGGGAAGAATAGTTTCAAGTGTCATCTTAGAAAAATCTTTTAATAGCACATTAAGAGCCTGGAATCAGCCACAGGTAAGCATGTGCACTGAAGATGCATTCTTCAGCTCAAGTTCCCAGTGTCACTTGAATAAAAGTGTAATATAGCTTTCTCATCAGTTACCCCAAAGAAAACAGCATTTCATTTTTTTGATACCTGGCTACTAATGTACAAACTATTCCTAGTTCATCTTACAAATTAAAATCTACTCAAACAGTGATACTTTCCTCCCACATTTATCATGTTACTTTACCAGCTCAAGTATTTGCTGTTACTTAGAAAATATTTGTCCTCCTAGAGTCAGAATTCAGGCAGGTGGTATTACTGAACATCAGAAAGTTCAGTGTTCAAGATAATCAGTTGTTTAATAAACTTAGTCAAAAAAGTAAGAAAATTTTACTCTATTTCTGCTCAAAACTCTTTTTAAAGCATGATGGGAGATTCACCTTTACCTGGCCTATTAATTTACAAAAATACTACGTGGACACTGTTGGCATAAGTTAAACAAAGAGTTACGTGCCACTGCTTTGAAATCTCTCTGGTCGCTATGCTAAGCCATCCTCCCTCGCAGTTCCCAACACTATAACCACTAATTTTGTTACTGTATCACAGTTACACAGAACCTGTATTTTGTAGCATGAGCATGACTTCCTCTGGCAATAAATACAGGAAGGCAGCACACAAGAGCATCATCTTACTACAAGAGCTGTTGGCAAATCCCCCTTCAAGAGGTACAGCAACAAAGCAGGACTGGAGATCAAAAGCTCTAGAAGCAGCACCGGTTACGTACTAGTGTTTTGCAGTATTAGCACAGGACCAGCACTGGCTGGAGTTTTCACAATGCTTCTGTAACTCCAGTCCTGAACTACCACTTCTCACCACTGCAATTGCAGACCTATGCAAAGTCAGCATTCCTCAGAAATTTCAATATGAGTACCAAGTCCTTCATGCAGGAACATGACTGTCCCAGAACTAGAAGTCACCATGCAACATCAGCAGTACCCAGATTCTTCCATAGTAGCAGCATGCAATTTGAGCCTGGCTAGTCACCTCCTGCATTACAGGTCTGTATGAGCAATAAGTCAGCACAGCTCTAGTAATAATAATCATCACCCCCTTAAAGCCTCAATGTGCAAGTCCTAAAGTAGCTGGCAGACCCCTAAAAAAAACATTTCTCTTCCCTGGTTCTAATGCAAAACAAAAGACAACTTCCTCCAACTTATCGGCTCACATGTCCATCACATTTTTAGCCTACTCTTTCACCCTTCTTCCAACTAAGACTTACTACAAAGAATAGAGGAAATTAATGCAGGAACATTTACTCTATACCCATTTTCCTTAACTTCCATTTCAGCATGGAAAACATCCAGATCCACAAAACCAGGGCTACATGTCAGACAAGTCCTTCAAAACACTACCTGTGCAATTAGGACTCATGGTCCTGCCTCTGAAGTCAAGCGTCCTACCCCATGTAATGTAGTTCTTAGCACTACAGCAATTTAATTTTATCTGACTCTTAGAACTGGAGCTGGCAAAGCTGAAAAGCTGTAAGCAAGAGTTCAGTCAGTAGTGGCAACCATCTCATCGCTTCTGTTTTTTCCCCAGCATTTGGGGTTTACAAAAAAACATGCCAAGAAAAACCTGAACAGCATTTCCTGCAGGACACAAAGTCAAGCATTCTTTACATGCATAGGCATTAACTAGTTTTCAGAACTTCTCTCCACAGACCTTAAATCATATATATGCTTTGTTTATGGCTAAATATACAAAGATAGCAGCCACAAACCAAAACAAATTCATGTTTATCACAAGAAATCGACCACTACTTTAGCCTGTGAAAAAGCATAAATTATTAAATGTGAACATTACTACGCTGCACAACTTTCTAACCCTTCCAGCCAAACTATCCTGGGGAGGAAAAAGCAAAACACCAAGAAAAATCCCCCAAAAACCTAAAACTATTACTAGTTTGAATTAAAACAAGTATCCTACCTGCTTCGAGGCCATACAACAGATCGAGACCTTGAGCGTGACCTGGATCTAGATCTAGAGGGGAAAAAAAAAAAAAAGAAAAGAAAAAAAGAAAAAACCCAACACAGTGAAAGTTCAACTACTACTACTACTACATGATTCATACAGCTGAGATAAAGTTCTCTGAGGTCAGTATCATAAAAGACAAAGAATACTATTTGAACTATTTGTTTTTCAGAAGTAACTTTTATTATTAGAAAGCTGCAGTACATTTGGTCAGTACAACCAACCACATAAGAAATCACACTGCCCTAGTCGACTAAGCATAATTACACCCTGTATCCTTGAAGTAGGACACTTTAACCACATATCAAGGCTGTAACTTTGGTACAGTATAAAAAAAAAGCTCAAAACCAGGAGTTCCAAAATTATATGTTTATGTTTCTAACTTCAAAGAAAGCTTTCAGAATAGCTCTCAGGGATGTAACACCATGAAGGTTCCTGCAAACACACGGACTGCAAAATATAACTCCGACACTTATGTTCCTCTTAACAATGTTGTGGGCTTAACGGAAAACACGTACCTTGATCTCCTTAAAGAACCAGACCGAGATCTGCGGGGTGAAAATGATCTATACCTACGAGGAGAGATTGACCTGGACCTGCGATAGGAAGCTGACCTCGATCTACAAAACAAAGGCAAAAAACAACCAAAATTACTGCAAGGTACTTTTCTCAAGGAGTATGAGAAACTGTGGGGGAGAGGGAGAAGAAAGAAAAAGAATTAAAACACAACAGCCAGAACCCTACCTCCTACCGCGACTCCGACTGCGTGACCGAGAATACCTTCTTCCTCGGGACCTTGAACGGGATCTAGACCGGGACCTGGTTTTAGGTTAGAGAAAACAGGTATCAGGAAACAGCTGCAGCAATCAGTGCATGTGAGGCCCTGCTGAAGTCAAAACTGATTTCAGACAATTAAAAGAAAAAAAAAGAAAAAGAAAAAACAAACCAAAACAAACCAAAACAACAAACACACACCACTAGCATCTGTCAGTTGGAAAAATCTCT